TTAAACAGAAAATGGAAGTATAGTATCCTAGTTTATGTGTTTACTAATGAACAGAGTACAGTATGATAAAGAAACACAATCATGTTATATTTATTAATATCAAAAAAAATATACAAGACAAGGTGTATGAAAAATCAGTCCGTCGACAACGAGCACTTCACTTTTTTTCTTCGTCCTTTACCATTTCTTTTTCCAACTGACTATGGAGTTGTTCGAACTCCCCAGATCATCATAAGGTCTATTAAGTGGATACACGAATATTGTTTCAGATTATATCTACACGAACAGAATGTTGGAAGTAACATGTTAGAAAAATTTTAAATTCGTGCTGAGTCCATCCATTGTTTAAAATGATCATACGATAACCAAGACATAAAATAAAAATAATGTACTCAAGCGTTCAGTAGTCATTTGAGACTCTGCTGCTGGAACCAAAAATGTAAATGCATATAATTGTAATATTTCACTTCTATCAACTTTATGAATTCAATTATAAGCTTTAATGCCGAGATCAGCGTCGACATTTAAATGTATTTGAAATGGATGTTGCACTGTATTCAGTGACCGATCGCTCAATATTTTCTCTGCGATTTATAGAAATGGAGCAAGTTGTAATTTATTTTTCATGGTGTAATGTTCTTTTATACAGCCGTTCAAGCTATCTAATCCATTGTTGATGGAAGGATTAAACCCAGAGGTTCTTTCGTACCAGTAAGGCAAATGAGATAACCGTTAGTGTTCAAAATATTGGGTACGTTCATTGAGATCTTTATCAAGAGACCATTTTTGTAACATTAATTTTGCACCAATGAGAAAAACTTAATCGTTAAATGCTAATTGTAACTTCGTGAACTCTTGCTCTACCACTAGAAACTTGTCTTTTTTTTGTAAGTTTTCTGTGTTCACGAATTTTTCGTTTAACGTGGGTCCAGCACATTAATCTTCGAGCTGTTGGCAATTCACTTTTACTATAAAAAAATTGAAGTCATCAATGCTATAACTAAAAATAACACTTACACAGTTGTTGTTACACTAGGAGCACTGTCAACCATAACAGTATTTATTTTATATGGTTGATTATTGACTGCTGCTGCGCATAATTTTATTTCCCTGAATAATGTTACAAATGTTTCTGCATCTTCATCAGTAGAGATAAGACAAAGTCCAATAGGAAAAAAACGTTGATTAATATCTGATGACCCAAATATTAACAGTGGTAACTCACACGATGTAACTCTATACGTGCAATCGACGACAAGAAATGATGACCATTTATATGTGGACAGATGTTGACGAATTGTTAAGCAAATGAAGGCATTATTGATGCCAATAAGGTGTGAGTGTGGGTGAAATTCATGTGTTGTTCACACCCATCCAAAGGGGTATATACATATATATAGCTATATAATTTTTATGCGATGCTTGTGCAGGTGATGGAAATATGTGTACGTGTGGTGGGACATATTCGACATAGGTTGTTAGTGTATTTGAATATGATTCATTCAAGTGGAACTAAGTGTCTCATGACGTTGGTGAAATTAATCCTAGTTGTGCTGTATGTTGAGAGACAGGATTCATTTTTAGCACCCTAACCCACCGTACTTACTAGAAAAGGAATTTGTTAGTTTTTTATTCAATATTCAATTTGAAATCCACAAGCCCATAGACTCTCATAACTAGATACCTGGTTTTTGAAAAATAATCAGTAAAGCATTTAGAACCATTAGTTTTGTATATGAGTAAACCTTGATTTTCTTATTTTAAAAGAGAGTTGTGCTCTTTCCTTTCATATACAACTGTCAAATACAATTAATATTGCAATGTTTGATCTTGTGCACACTCAACTACGAATATGTCTTGCGCATAAGTGAAGTTGAAAAGACAGATCATCTAATTGACAATAATGATGACATCAAATTTCTCTCTCATCCACATTCTGAGAAAAAAAGAGATTCTTTGTTATTATGTCGTTGTATATCTCGCATAGCATATATTTGTGCGAGCTGTCATGGATTCCATTATTGCGAAAAAAAATAAAATCATTACATTGCTCTTATTATTTTCGCATCGTTTTCATTATGTGACTTTCAAATATTAAAAATAACCAAAATTATTACATAACTTTATTATAATTATTTATTTAAATCATCGAAATTTTTACCAGATCTTCGATAATCACGTTTACTATTCTCGGTAAAATTGCATTGTAAAACAGAGAGAAATTCTTTTCCATCTAAATAAAGATTTTTTCAGAATGATCCTATAATGAGATTGCCTGTTTATGTTGAAAATAACAAGCATCGACATCGATTAAAAATGCAACAGATATATGGTAAGTTAGTTTATTTTATAGTTACCACTCATTTAGAGTTTTATATATATTCATTAGTTTTAAAGACTTTTTATTGATGAATAGTACCATTCACTAATTTATTTAAAAATTACAACAAATTCAAGACAAAATTATTTGCTAAAAGTATCGATTATGACCGAGATACCGTTTCAGTAGATGAATATCTCACGCATTAGTCATTCATTCATTCATTCGAGTGCAGATACACTTGCTACTCTTTAATCAATTGATATTGATATTGATGAATCTAATCAGAGATTTCTTCATTTATTTACTTCAGGATCCTTTTACAATCAACAGTTACAGTTCTTTAGTCACAAAAAATAGGGTGTTTTAGATTTCTTTTAAATGTTATCATACAGAGAAAAAAATGTGTGCATTCGACATAAACTTGTCACTTAATCTCGATGGATCCTTGAATTGTTGTTTAACAGTCTTTTATGAATGCTTTTTTTAGATTCCATATACGAGAAACTTCACCCAAGCCACCCATGATGGACTGGAAAGAGTATCGAGACGAAGATATTTTACATTGGTCAGTGCGGGACTGTATGTAATGTTGATCCACTGACCACCGTAAGTATAACCATTTAAATCACTGGCCAATGTTGTGGGATTCGACGTGGGACCGACGAGAAGTTGATGATGTGTTACACCATTGGGCGATTGAGCGACTTGAAGACATACAATGTTAATAGTATACGTAGATGGAAGCGCAAGCTGAACATATTGAGGAGCGTAACCACCGGAGTTATAATATGTAGGGCTCGGTTGAGGATCAACAAGACCGGCCATTTGAGCAGCAGCTGTACCAGCACCAGAGTAGAAACTGCCGGCTCCGACTGTGGCAAGTGATGATAATGCTACAACTATAGAAGAAAAATAAACTCATTGTTTTTCATACGGTCTATTACATGAAGCAAAATGGCTTTTGTTAGTGCGAAAAACAAAAAGTAAAGAAACATAAGGCATTAGTCTAAACGAGACCATGATCTAATAGATATATGTCATCTAACCAGTTCAGTTAAACATTTTTCATTTCTTAGATTCCAAATTCTGTCCTGTATAAACCAATCATTAGTCAGCTATTTTTTCCTTACTAATATATGTGTCGGAGGCATAGAATGAACTGTCAACTAGAAAGAATACAGAAAATACCAAAGTAATATGTCTTATAGAGAAATAACTACTGTTCTCTCCTGTCTATTTTCGTACATGTGAAATGACTAACTGTTAATTTCGTAAAAAATTTCCCATGTTTAACTCACGTGGTGTTGTAGTTGTCGTTGTTGCTGATGTAGATGTTGTGCTAGTTGTGCTGGTTGTTGAAGTACTTGTAGTACGTGTAGTTGATGTTGTTGAAGTGCTAGTAGTAGTTGCAGTTGACGTTGTGGATGTTGTTGAAGTGCTGGTAGTAGTTGTTGTTCTAGATGTAGTGCTTGTTGATGTCGAAGTTGTGCTGGTTGTCGATGTTGAGCCTTTATGAATAGATAAGAAAATAATTGAATTTAATTTGATTAAAATTCAAAATAATTCACTAGTTGTTGTCGTTGTTGTGCTAGCTGTTGATGTCGTAGTTGTTGAGGTGGCTATATAGAAATTAAAAGTGTTGAAAAAAAAAATATATATAATCATAAATGAGAAAATATTTTACAAGTAGTGCTAGAGGACGTTGAAGTAGTACGCGTCGTTGTTGTAGCTAAAAAGAAAGAAAAAAGTATGTCTCATTATAAACAGGAGTCACGAAAGCGAGAATATCTCTTTCCTCTCCTCAAATTTAAATCCTTGGGGTGGAGCCGCTGATCATAAATAAGAGAACGTAGTGTGTTGGAAAAATCATTAAACAGAAAAGAATTGAATATCTTCATTACATCTAAACACTTCGAACTGATTTTTTTGGGATAAATCGGAATTCACGAAGCAACCATGAAAAATAGTTTTGTGTTTATGATTGAAAATCTAAAATATATTCTGTTTTCAAAAAAGGATCAACTTATTGAATTTAGATATAGTGATATTGTCAAGGTCCTAGATATTACTGGTAGTGCTAGTAGTTGCCGATGTGGATGTTGATGTTGATGTTGTAGATGTTGAAGTCGTTGCTGTAGTTGCCGTAGCTAAGTGAAGATAAAACCATAGGATATATAATTGTAAATAGACAAAAATGTGTTTTTTAATGGTAGATCATGTGTCGAAAGTAGAATCGTCGGAATAAGGTTTAAATACTTCGAAATGATACTTACTTGTTGTTGCTGTCGCTAAATAATAATAGAATAAGAAATTTATTTATTGAAAAGTTAAGAACCTACTTGCAGTAGCAGTTGTAAATGTTGTTGTTGTGACTGTAATGATCGAAATCGAAAAAAAAACATTTTAAAGAATAGAAGAGATAGTTAATTTATTTAAATGACACCTTCTAGTGCGATATAGTGAGTTACTCATGGCGACATAAATTTATTTTTCAGTTCAATTTCATACATTAATAGGACTACTCTATCTATACTATCAACAAAGTCATACACGCCGTCTGTGTCTGATAGAACAACAAGTTACAGATTTTTCACCAACTGGAATTTGTCTCTCATGAAATGAGAGAATATCATATTTATTCTTTAGAAAGCTTTATCAGCCAACGTGATTGATTTAGGGTATGTTCTTGCGTATATAGAGCCAACTACTTGATGTTCCTTGCTAGTTTCTTGAGGTACTAAAGGGCATAGCTTTGGGGCTGGTGAGAGTATACCAAGAAAAACGACAGAGGGAAGGAAAAAACTAGGTGCCCTTTTTTTTTGATTGACTGGCGCCACACGATTGACCATCTAATTGGTCTATTAACAATCTTGTCTAATACATGTTTCATCTGTGGACTATTTATCAAATTTAAAAATGAAAACCAATTTGCAAACAAAACACCTGAAAATGCAAATTTTGACGAACATTGTTTCTTTCAAACATCTCTCAGATATAATACACACTTACCAGTAGACGTCAGAATGGTATTGTCCCCCACCACTGCCGTCGTCTTGCCTACAGTAAGCGCGATAGGTACAGCAACAGCAGTCGTAACTACAGCCAAAGCTCCAATACAAATCAATACTTTCTTGAGAATGCTTGATTGACCGACCGCTCTACACTAGTTGTTTGTATATAGTAATACTAGCAAATATAGTGTCTTACGAAATTTTCTCTGTCGATATTTCTGGTATTGAATCAATATCGAGATTGACGAGTGATCTTGGATTATATTGCTATTAGCAAAAATACAATACAGCAAATCGACTCGTTACAAATCTTACATGTCGAAGAATATAGCTGGATCCTGCTCCAATTTGCGTGCTTGTCGGCATCTTCACAACAAAAGCACTGAATTAACCTTTTCTATGTTGTTCTTTTTTAATAACGTTATTGTGCACGAACAACACATGCTTTTAACTACTTCAATTGATGGAATTTTTTATATATTGTTTTTCATTTTGTTAGACGACAGTAATGCTTCGACAAGAAAAGTGAATGCACACAATCATTCACAGTCGCTTATGCCTGGCAGCAATAGTTTGAGAGTAACGTGTTACTAAGATATGGTCAGTATATTATTCATCAAAATGCATTTTGTCGACAAAGCATATCAAAAAAAGTTGAACGTAACATGATGCTTTGTTTTTAGAGAAACACGTAAATATTAAACAACGAGTTTATAGAAGATAGAATGTACCAAAATTGAGACCAAACCAAGAGTCTCGATTAATCTTCGTCACATTCTTAGTCAATGTTAGTATTAGTGAGGTGAAAGCAGCCATCATAGAATCTTCGGATATATGAGGAGGGACAAGAACATGGAGAAATCTGATTGGTTAAAAATATCACAAAAAATCTGGTGTCTGATGGCGAGGATGAAGATGGTCTCGTTTGATTGATTCGCAAAATTCTTTCTTGTACATTTTCGATCGTAGGACAAATACGGTAAAAGTCAGCGTTGGTGAAGTAGACGAAATGAAATAAACAATCAGATATAACCATGAATTTCGAGCCAATTTCATACATCCAGATAAAAATGATATGATCAAACGAGGAAGAGCTAACAGGACGAGAATGAGCGATGAAATCAAGAAATGTCTATGACGTTGAAATTGTTGACGTAAAAGTTTCTTGTAGGAATGCATTTTTTGAACGTTTAAACGAGTACGAGCTGCAGTGATAATAGTGACTAATGTCGAAATACAATTAGTTGCAAATGGAATAGAAAAATGAAGAATATTCAGAGCCCAATCAAATATTTGTACAGATGGTAGATATTTGATTACACACCATGTATGTTGTTCTTTAACATCATCGATCAGATGATGATGAATAGGATTGTGGATATGTGTAGAGACAGTAAAAAGAAAAACAATCAAAATTATCCATGTAGCAACTTAATGACTCTTTGCTTTGTTGAAATTAATTCCTATCGTAATATTTACTGCTCGTTCAATGGCCACACAAGCACTAAGCAAATCGCAAGTACTCAAAAGAAGTCGAAGAAGAAAATCAATGAATATGCGTTGTACTTGTACAAACGAACAACTATTGATCGAAACTATTTATGATGCAAGAACAAACCAGAACTTCACTGCCAATACACCCATAGCCATCATCGATGTGATCGAGGACGTTAACAGATAGAGACCACCATCGATATTACATGTTGTTTTCTTTTGAAAAGTCAACAATGAGAAAAGACTGCTAAGAAAATCAAAACCGAACATAGTTGTAGTAAATGTAACTGCAATTTTGACAACAATAGGCTGCCGACTAATTCTAACATGGGGATGTATTTAATAGCCTCAGATAGTATCCAACGAAAGAGTCGATCCTTTTGTAGAAAATTGATATCTCGATCCATAATAGCATTTACGACAAGCATAAGTTACCAATCTTGGACATTTTGGATTATCTTGAAAGTATTGATCTTCATTTTCACATAAGTTATAACCACGACAATCGTTAGTCATATTGTGATTGAATTCGAAACAATTAGCTTGTCGAGCAAGATCACACACACAGAAGTGAATATCATTATAGAAACAAACTAATTCGAATCATTCTTGACATGGAATATGATAATATTTGATTCATTTCAATAAGTATTGATTAACAAGAGTCTCATTGAACAGTTCATGAATGGATGCACATCGATAAGAAGAAATGATTTATGTAGAGATATTTGACCAAATAATGGCTTGTTCTCGAAGAATAATTAAATAATAGGGTGTGGCTGTTAATCTATTACTTATTTACGTCCACACCCACACACTCACAGAAGAAAAATAAAAATATTTGTTTAGAATGTGATAACGTATAAAGTAATTTAACGACACTCTCTTGTACGTTTATTATTGAGTCAAATACCAATTTGAGCTGGTTTTAATTGAGTTCGAGTTGAAAAATCATCAATTGCTTGTTTTGATACATATTTATCAACTTTATAAAAATGTTCTTCTAAAATTCGAATTTGTTCCGACTAGGGATGGACCATTTTATTTAATGGGACTTAATTAATGTCATTAATTAATGGCTTCACTTAACCATTAATATTAATGGTTAATGTTTTCCTTTAAAAACTTAATTCATTAATATTAATGTTAATGTTTTCATTAATCATTAATATTAATGGTTAATGTTTTCCTTTAAAAACTTAATTCATTAATATTAATGATTAATGAAAAAATCAACATTAACTTAATATTAATGTAAATGGTCCACCCCTAATTTACACATTTATTTACTGAAGATACTAAAAATAAGATTTATTAATTATTATGAGGACAAGAAAACAACATCAACAATTTTATATTTATCCATTGAAGACATAATTTTATACTGTTGATTTATTTGAAAAAAAAAACTAATTGAATTTAAGAACCAATTATATAATAATGAGATAATCATATTCTAGAAATAATTTTAAAAAAATCAATTTCATAAAAATAAATATTCAGAAATGTTTTGTTGATAATAATAATGTATTTAGTTGTTAACTTAAGAATTTTTCTAACATATCCAAGCACCTAAATGTGTAGAAATAAATAATGAATATTTTATTCGTTCTTCTTATTTCAAAATAAAAAACAAAAGCTAACGTAGAAAAGTAAATCTTTCTTAAGTATAACATTATCTCAAATTGTTTCATGAAATGATCATCAAGTTATCGTTTTCAATTGTGAAATCTGAATGTTCTGAGAACAACAAACAAAAAACAGGGAACGTGACTTAACTTTTATATTTGAGATAAAATTTTGAAATAGAAGAAAATAAAACAAGAAGAAATATACAATGAAAATATTGAACTATGTAGAGAGTATTGCAAACAATTATTCTTATTAAAGTTTACATTTTTATTGAAGGAAAAACATATGACAGCTCCAATGCATTGAAATAAGAATCTGTACGAATCGAGTGATGAAAAGAAAAACTTTGACGTATAGATATTTAAATAAAGTCCTTGTTTAAGGTGCTGCAAAGATAAACTGCCTGTTCATTTCTATTTAAAGTTATTAGGGTGAGTGTGGGTGTGAGTGTGTTAGAGAATACAAGATTCACACCCATACCCTCACACACACCCGCACCCTATATCGAGCCACTATAGTATGTTGTTTCTTTTTCTAAACAATTCGACACTAAAGGATTTCGCGAAAGAAGGTTGGACAAATTGTTTGAATAAAGATAAGGCATTTCTTTTGGTGTGTTGGCCTTTATCTCAGTGCATTAATTTTCATGCGCACAACGCAAAGCAAATATTATATTTGCTTGCATCAGGTGAATCTTTTTCTCCAACATGATGCTTATCATTGTATTGTTGGACTTTTTCTCTACCCATCAAAATATCTTAATATCAATGTTGTTAGTGTTTGTCGAATGAAGTTAAGCAAAGGTGCAAGTATGTAGTATTTGGTAATAATGGCCGTTCCTAGAGCACTGTGAGATCATTCGACTAAGGAACTGTATGATTAGAGCCTATAAATTTTCATAACATAGGGCAGATGGCAAAAAAGTAACCTTCTGCAGTATTCTATCTGCCTTATTGGAATATTTCCATTATCCCAGGTCAATCACGCTCGGCAGTAAACGGCCGTCCACTAACCAAATACGGCGAAAAACGGCAACTGTTTATGTTAGTCATATACAGCAGCCGTAAACGATGATTTACAGCATATTACGGCAATCGTACACAGTGTCCGTAAAAGTTCATCGTAAACTACTACCGTAACAATACGGTGACTGTATACTTTGGTCGAAAAACAATGTAAGGCGTCGTATACGTCAGCCGTTTGCGGTGGCTGTTTACAATGGTCGTATCTGATGCTCTACGGCATGCTACGGCAATTGTAAACATTGACCGTAAAGTATCGTAGGAAACGACTAGCGTGACAACATGACGACCGTATACGCTGGTATTATAAAATGTCGTAAAACACAGTGTACGTGAGCAGTATACAGTAGTCCGTTACGCCGATCGTAAACGACATTTTACGATGATTTTGCGGCCGACGTAAACAATTGTCATAAACAGCAACCGTGTACGACTTCTGTAACAATATGCCGATTGTATACGCTCATCGCATAATATCGCGACGTACCGTCTTTGTTTATTGTAATTCGTTCGATATAGAATCACTATTTGTTATTGTATTTCGTCGCAAACGATCGTTAATGTCGGCGAATTTCTATTATTGAATATCAATAACATACTCTCATGATGGCGTATACTAGTCGATAGCTAACAAAAGTTGCGTTTCTACAAAGTCGAGAAAGAGTCACAGGAATTCCAGCAGTGTACCTTAATCGAAAAATAGTCTTTTCTGAGTCTTTTTCCGACTCACCTTATCCTATACATCGGGGTGTCCCTCCTGTTCACCCTCATTCGAGCTCAGTGCACATTGTGAGTAACAAGTAAGAAAAACCGATTTTCAAACACCGTTGCTTGACCTACCAAAAGTCTTTCCTTCGGTCTTCTTGAGACTCACCGTACTCTAAATATAGGGCGGCACCGCCTATCAACCCTCATGCCGCTTGGGTACAAAGCTTCAGTAACAAGTGCGAAAAATCGATTTTACAGCACTGTTACTTGGCCTTTAAAAAGTCTTCCTTTCAGTCTTTTCAGGCCCACCTTACCCTATATATATGGGTGCACAACGTGGTCGTGGTCATTTGAGTTCAGAGTCAGGTATGAGTAACAAGTATGAATAATAGATTTTTGAGGAGTATTATTTGATCAAAAAGAGTCTTTTTTTAGTCTTTTCAAGCCTCACCCCCTACTATATAAAGGGCTGCACCACTTGCTCGTGGTCATTTCAATTGAGATTCAGGTATGAGTAACAAGTATGAACAATCGATTGTTTAGCGGATGATTTGATGGAAAGAGAGTCTTTTTAAGTCTCACGCCTACTATATAAGGGGCTGCAACAGGTGCTCGTCGTGATTTCAATTGAGAGTTACGTATGAGCAACCAGTATGAAGAATGGATATTGAGAAGTAGTATTTGATCAAAAAAGAGTTTTTTTTAGCGTTTTTGAGTCTCACCGCTAATATATAAGAAGCTGCAGCAAGGGTTAGTGGTCATTTGCATATAGTGTTAGGTATGAGTAACAAGTATGAACAATGGATTTTTGAAGAGTATTATTTGATCAGAAAAGAGTTTTTTGTAGTCTGTTCGAGTCTGACGCCCTACTATATAAATGGCTGCACCACGTGCTGGTGGTCGTTTCAGTTGAGAATGCCATCGTAGCAAAAAGTATGAACAATCGAATGTTTAGCGGATGATTTGATGAAGAAAGAGTGTTTTTCCGTCTTTTTGAGTCCCGCTCCTGTTTTTATACAGACACGCACGCCGAGGTATGTGCTGTTGAGGTGTACAAAGAACCACGAACAAGAACGATGAGTAACCGATTCCGGTTATTGAAGTGTAGTCGTTTGGATAGCTTTTCTGATGAGGTTCCTATATGGTCTCTGAGGAAGGATCCTGCCTCATTTCCGTATATATTTAAAGAAGTGTTCTAGCATATGACCGATTTAAAAGGAAACCGCAATGCCTGAGCGTTTTGTTTTTAACGCAAAGCGTTCCATTAGAGAATATCCCGAAACCCAAGCATTCACTAGAATACGATCCTGCCTTTACATGAAAAAATCATTAATGGTCTTTTCACATCTGCTTTCATAGTTTTCCACCTCGCAGAAAGTTCTTGGGAAAAGTCTGTGGAACCTAGAAAACGACCTTTTTTCAAGCTTTTGCGCGCTAGCAAATCTCACAAGAAAAGTCTTCACAGCACTCAAACAGAATGTTTCGTACCTATTCGCAATCTTCAGAAGAACTCCAAAGAAGTCTCGGAAGGTGCCAGACTGCTTCCCGTCGAGTCTTTTTCAACTGTTCCACACTATTATAAGGAGTTCTCTTCGAGCCAAAAACTTCTCAAAAACTTTTCGAGACGTCTTTTTCTCTGGGTCCTCAAAAGTCTGAATGAGTCTCAATAAGTCTGAATGAGTCTCAACAAGTCTCAATGAGTCTCAAAAAGTCTCAAAAAGTCTCAATAAGTCTCAAAAAGTCTCAATGAGTCTCAACAAGTCTCAATAGGTCTCAACAAGTCTCAAAAAGTCTCAATAAGTCTCAATGAGTCTCAATGAGTCTCAGAAAGTCTCAAAAAGTCTCAATGAGTCTCAATAAGTCTCAATGAGTCTCAAAAAGTCTCAAAAAGTCTCAAAAAGTCTCAAAAAGTCTCAAAAAGTCTCAATGAGTCTCAATAAGTCTCAAAAAGTCTCAGAATGGTGAATACGGCCGTACACGATCGCCGTATTACGCCGTATACGACACGGCGAAATACGGCCGTAATACGGTACATGGAAATACGGCGGATTTACGGCCGTTTACGGTCGTAAAATCGTCGTATACGGCTGTTCCTGGTCGCTGTAATGCTCGTTCTGGGCACTGTATACGGCCACCGTATACGGCGATTTACGG